CTTTAATTCTCAACTGAAAGACGCGGTAAATGGTTATATCAAATAGCAAATGAAAAAAGAAATAATAATTGTAATAAGAACTTGGTATCCAAACCTTTCGACAGTCTTTACTAGAACGCTAGGAACGGTCCTGGAGATCCTCGGAAAAAGGATGAACTGGAAATCAAGGGAAGAATCAAGACTACCCAGACGAGAAAATTATTCCATCAGTGAGAATGCTAAGGGGAAGAGTGGAAAACTGAGAAGACTTGCTGTCACTTAACTTCTGAGTATTTATTACTATAGAACTGAACACTCAATGAGTGAAGAATAATAATCAAAGTGTGCACATTGTGAGCTATGTCTAATAAGCCTGTCCTATACTCTTAATACTGTAGTGTGTTTAATCCATACTGGATACACCGAATTATTGGCTCTGTGCCAGACAAAATTAATTTTAGCAAATGTCAATAATAATAAATGACCTGACGCTACACTAGTCGTGTCTCTCATGGATTCCGATCTTAATTGATTGAAAGTATTAACATGCACATATTTTGTCATGTGAATAAAGATAGGCTACAGTAAATTTCCCATTCAGTACTACACAGATTACCTTGTTAATTGTCTGACCTTAATAAGTTGCTAAGGTCCCCTAAGAGCTGAAGAACTGTGCAACTCTGTTCATGTACAATAGTAGTGAAGAAGTATCATAACTTGGTATTGAGAGGGTTGTTTTTTAAGTTTATGGGACGGTCAAGGTGAATTGTGAGTCATTTAGATTGGGAACACCTGAAGAATACACTGACTGCACCTCTGCAGAGAGGTAATCCCCCACCCCCAATAAGGCCACGTGTTTAGGTGACGAACCGTAATGTCTGAGGACGGAAACCTGGTGGCTGAGCAGTTCATGACCCGGGTGTATAAGTGGTCATGTGACTGGTGTGGCACCTTGCATTATTAGAAATATTCATAGAAATATGATTTAATTTTTTCTTACTCGGTTACTAAACAGGTTGTTGATTTTTTTTTTAAAACGGAAAATAACTGAGTTGAAAATAATTCACTAAGATTGTACTAGACGATCTTAAGGGAAGAAGAAGGAAAGAAAAGAAAAAAAAAAGAAAAGAAAGAAGAAGAGAGAAAAAGAGTTGTATGATGCATGACCCAATTGAGGGTGGAGATAGGAGTCAGAAAGAGATTTAGGTCAGCGTCTTGGCCGATTTTCGAAAGACAATTGGAAGAATAGAATTATAAATAATAAGAAGAAAGAAAGGGAAAAAAGACATGATATCAAAACGGGCCGCTGATGTAGACCAGATATCGTCAAAGCATCTGACCGACTTTTGCGTGGAGAGACTCCTTATCAATTTGGTTTAGAACAATAGAAATGAAATTTTTAATCAGAGAAAAATTTTCTTTGGGTTGAGGGGAGTGACCAGTGGAACGATATACAGATCTTGACCTGTTAAGAATTGGACACCCACGTTAATAAAGTAGAGACATTTCAATGTAGATAATTAAGATTTTCGACTATCAGGAAAAACAAAGAGGTAAAAAGAGGGACAATTGCTTTTGGCTCACAGAGGGCGCCAAGAAGGCGGAAAAGATCCTTTCTAAAGTCAAGACTAATTAGCAGCGGGCTGTTTGACAAAGTCCAGGTGAGAGAAAGCCAAAGATTGTCATTTTGCGTACGTGCAAAAAGGGAAAAATTGGATTTTGTTTTTTTAAACAAGAACGATGTAACCACGCCCGCAAACAGAGGGGAGAGGATGTTCGATCAATAACAATTGGTCGAATACGATCACGTGACCTGCGGAAGAAAAGGGAAAGAAATGTTCGACCAATAACAATTGGTCGAATACGATCACGTGACCTGCGGAAGAAAAGGAAAGAAATGCTCGATCAGGAACGATTGGTTGAAAAGCGGTCACCTGACATACGAGAGACTAAGAGAGATGGATGTGCGCCGCCCCACCAAAGGTACTGCGAGGAAGTAGGGGCGAAAACAATAGCGATAATGGAGAAGACAGAATTAATGCAGTTTTGGAATTATCGAGAAAACCCTGACGCCGACAGACCCACCCCAGTTTGTTGCGGCGTCAATAAAAGCAGGGCCCCAATCGACAAAAATCAGTTCATCCCCGGACGGCAGCGAGAAAAGAACCCTCAGACAAGAAGAACTTCCAGCCCAAGTAGATGAAGAAGAAGATTGCCTGAAAGCCTGAGAAGAATTGGAGCTGCAGACAAGCCGAAAGTCGATGAGAAGTTAAAGTTCAGCTCCGGACGGCAGTGAGAAGAGACCACCTCAGACGACAGAGAGTTGCGACTAAGTTGAAACAAGAAATCTTCCACCAAGTTGAAACAGGAAAACTACCAGCCCAAGCAGACGAAGAAGAAGAAATACAACTCAAGTCGGAGAGAAGAATCAACTGCGAATGATCGATAGAAATTAGCCCCAGTGTCGAACTGAACCACACTCCGACATACATACATGATTCTAGAAAGTAGGTAATTCGACATTTTTCTATTGTGTGATAGAAGCTTGGTGCCATAGTCCACAGAGCGGGTCGGGAAATGAGAACACTTTTGTTTTTATGTAACGGACTTTAAGATATAAAAGGTTGTTACCCTTTTTATCAGCAATTTTGTTTAGTGTCGTGAGTTTTTATTTTATTTGTGTTTTGCCACCCCCGTCGGACTCAACTTGTATCGGCCCCGATCCCTGCTGGTCCCGTCTGTCTAAGATCTAAACACAGCGTGGGTAGACAGACCGGAGATCGGTATAGTTGCTTTAGTGACCAGGTATTGGAAGCGAGTCGGGAAAGGCGAGGCTGGTGATCATCTGACCAAAGGGTTGGAGCGGCACGCTTGGACCCAGGAGGAGCGACCAGGAGGAGCGACGTCACCGTTGGCGCCGTAACCAAAGGATCCGACACTGGGCCAGGTGTGTAACCGTCACACTGGCAACACTAATAACGGGACTAATAAAAAAAAATCACATAGCAAATTCAAACAAAATACCCAAAGGGAATTTCTCTGATTTTGATTCAGAGGTTATATAAGCAGAAAGTGAATTCCCTAGATTCATCATAATTGAATCTCTAGAGGAAACATTCTGCATTCTTATTAGAAAAAAGTTACCCATAAGACAAATCTTCCAACATTGAAAAAAAATGGGAAGTGGCAATATAGTTGTAAACAAGAACAGTTAGAAACAGGTAACATACTTAAAATTAAATCTTTCCACAATTTAAAATGTAAAGCTGACCCACCCAAAAGACAACACTTCAAAGGGAATTATTAGAGAGCTGTCCCTGGCTATAACATACGAAATAAATGCAGCCTGAGAAAAGCGAGGGGGTCATCATCTATAAAAGAATGTGCATAAAGAGAGGTGAGAAGAATAAGCATAAAAAAATGTCGTAAAAAAAGACCCAAATCAGATGGAGGAAGATTGTACCCAGGATACTAAATGCTGATGGAATAATTTTCTCGTCTGGGTAGTCCTTATATTTCCCTTGATTTTCAGTTCATCTTTTTTCCAAGAATCTTCAGGAACGTTCCTAGCGCTCCAATAACGACTGTCAAAAGACTTAGAATTTTTTTTTTAAAAACTTTTCCCCAGATTTACTTGGTCGTCTAGTGAAAAAACGGAATTTATCTCTGCCATGCTGCTTACTTTAAGTTTACTAGATACAGTTTTCTGGCTGAGATTAGATGTAGATGATCCATTTGAATATTAAAATTTCAGATTTTATGCGTTTCATTCTCTGGGACAGTTTCTTTCAGCTTTTTCGATATATATATATATATATATATATATATATATATATATATATATATATATATATATATATATTCTACGTATGCATGCACATTCTAAATCAACTTCCTGTTTGCATTTCGGGAAAGACATTGACATCCTTTGAAGACCGAGTGTGCTTCTAGGGCTGTGAGGTCACCGTTAAGGCGAACCTGCTGTTGCACCTGTCTCCTCTAATCCTCTAGATTGCCCATGAGTGTAAAGACTTATTTTGGTATCTTAGGATGAGCTCTGTATATATTGGGGTCACCACAGGTCGATCTTCTTAGGACATAAACTTCGAGTCAGACATGATATTTCCTGCAGTATAAAATGTTTGGTTTCATTAACAATCATAGGACTTATTGAAGACAAATGAAAATCGGGAAAAAGTGTGTCATCTGCTTGTCGAGTTTGATTGAATGGGTGGTAGAAAAGCACAAAGATGAATTGTAAATGTGAAAGAGTTACTTAGAGCAACACAAGAGAAAAAGCTGTGGAGAGCCATGATAGGGCACCTCATGAAAAATATGCCATATGAAAGAAGAAGCTTGCAGACAATGCGTAGAAAGTCAAAATTTATTTGTTAAAAATACTGAGATGTGCGTGGATGACTCGTGTCAATTAGGCACAAGAATATCGAACCAGAGCTAAACCGATATTTCATATTGTAATTTTTCAGGTAACGCATTTTTCTAATTTCAGAAAATTTCCCATTCCCATTGAAAAATCCATAATGAACCGAGTGAACTTCAAAGTCACGTTTAAGATTTACTTAGCATTGTAAAAAATATGATGCTGCGAACCTTTGCTTCCATTTACGGTGACAAGAAGATCAGGTATTAACAATAATTATAATCGACAATGTTAATGACAATAATAACAAAATTAATCTCAGGTAAAATCAGTCATTTTGAATGTTGAGTTTCTTGGAAGATTGGTTCATTATAATCATATTACTTCCTGCAGACCTCGTGACATACTAAGTGAAGCTCATTAACTGTTAGAAAGAGCCGTGTAGTTATCTACCAAGCGCAGCAAGTTTGACAGGAGGACGCAAGTATGGGCCACTCTGGGAGGATCGACGTCACCAATATGTGGTAATAATCTGCGTAACCAGGTTGCTCACCATTGTATCACAACGAGGCGCGCACCAGAAGCGGCATATATACAGCAATGCAAATATGATTCACCAGATGAACATACATAAATGCACATGGGCGTGCGCAAAAGTGCGCGCGCAACTCCCCGCCAACACAGGCGCGCGCACACACTGACGCAATCCACTCCCCGCTTTGATGTTGTGGCTGTAATTAATTCTTTCCATCCTCTCAAGGCGCTAATAGAGTTCATAATTAATGTGGATGAAGCTGTTCTAGATTCGCGCCAATCGAGTTCTTTAGCCAATCATTTTGACGCACGTAGATGTTTTTAGCTCCTTCTGCTCGTCCTTATCATTCTTCTCCGCTTTCCTGATATCTCAAGTCGACATTTATATACCTCTTCGCCTCTTTCCATATCGATCAATTCTCAAGATTCCTTCTTTTTCTCCTCATTTTATCGATAGATAAATTGTCCGCGTTTCTGTATACACCTCTTTTCTTTTATCTCCAAAAGGCGGTTGTCTGAAAAGTTATCAGCCTAACTTCCCAAAATCTGACAAATGACTAAATTTCTAAGTCTGTGTCTATCTGTCTCAGTCTGAGCATATCTATCTATCTATCTATCTATCTATCTATCTATCTATCTATCTATCTATCTATTTCAAATTTTACCGTTCCACTTAAATCTTTACACACACACACACACACACACACACACACACACACACACACACACACACACACACACACACACACACACACACACACACACACACACACCCCTCCTACAGCGCTCTTACGTACCAGTAGAAAGATTGTCGCACTATTCTAACTCACTAGGATGCGTGATTCTGGGGGACAATAACAGGCTCTTAGAACTAGGGTCCTTATCACCGCTAGATGGAAAGGTACCTTTGAAGTGTTTAAAGTAATAGATCTACCGCTCCCTTGCAGTGATCGCTAGATACAAATTGGAATTGAAGGATAGTATTTACTATAACAAGGATAGAGTTCATCCTACTGATCCTTGATCTTTAATGCAGGATGATTACAATTGAAGATTGCTCGCCGAGAAGATCGATATATGTGAGGGGCACTCATCAATTTGTGTTTATTAGGATTATTTAACTGTAATAGATGTGCAGATAGTGGAACGGGTATCGGTCCGAAAATTGGAATCAGCGAGCCGGGTTTAAATTCCAGGTTGGTCTGTTGTCTTGATTTTCGCACAAATATATTTGGGAAAAGCATGAATTTATTTCTTCTCTTCTCATTCAATTATTAATTAAAAAAGGATAGACTAGGTCTTTTGGCAGTGGATGGCAATCCGTCAAAGAGAAGGGAAACTATGAATTCTAATCCGCAGAGAAGGCAACGGGAAACCACTCCACTATCATACTCAAGAATGCATTTCAATTCACAGTTAATAAAGGAAACTTTGGCGAGTCATGTTTACTTACGTCATGAAGAGAGATGGCATTAAGAGAAATGCGGCAATTAAGAAAAATTTCTAGATTGAAAAATGAAAATTAATTATTTCTACATGCTGTGAGTTTATCAGATAGCTTTGGGAAAATGTGCACCTACCTAATTTGTGCGTTGAGAAATCAATAAAAGCGTAAAATAACCCCTCTGTTGACCATTTTAGTGTTACCGATGGAATGTTCAAGCAAAGATAAAGTTTGAAACAAAAATAATGGAAGGAATTTACCGAAACCACTGGTAACAGAATTCCTTGGACTGTTGAATCGAATTGAGTTGCAGCATTTATTAGATTAAATAACATCAGTAACAGACAAAGGTTCTTTTCAAAGTATTTAAGCAACGGGCGGCCGTCTCTAACCGGAACTTTTCTTAATGTCACCATATGCATTATTATAGTGTGTGGCTAGCGTAACGATTATCGGCGTGTAAAGCGGAATCAGCGAATTGAGTTCAAATTCCGGCTTAGCGTATAGTGTTCATTTTAGTATTAATACCTTTACCCTCAACGATGGGCTAAATAAACTAGGTTGCACCCTCTAGATTTGGGTGGTAGCCAGTCAACGAGAATAATAACACTGATTTAAAAATCGTGGAAATGATAACGGAAAACTATTCCACTATCTTTCGCAAGAATTCATGTCAATTCTGTGGCGAGCCAAGATCTATTACATCCTGTCTTAGTTTCTAGGAGGGGGCGGATCTCCAGAGGATTTCTTCTCCAGATAAGAAATGGCGAGATGACCAGTCTTGCCACACTTCCAGCCTGTTGGTTTTTTGCTGGTCTCTATGACTGGCAGATTCCTCCAGTTTATGGCCTTATCGTCGAGGCCTAGAATACGCCGATTACATCATCTGCAGTGGGTTAAGGCTCCCAGTCACAGAGCCACTTTCTGGGGAGATTCTTGTAAACTCGAGTATAAATCCAACCAATATTTACTTTTTGACTCAACAATACTAAAAACGAATTTCGACATGAAATAAACCAACAAAAGTGAATATGTCGTAAAATTCACCAACACTGCGATCAAAACTTGAAGGGACATGGTATTTTTTAAAAAAAAGTGCTATTATGGGTGTTTGTAAGGATCTGCGTAAGAAAAAGGAAGCGATGAGGGAAACCTATGATGGCGCACTGTGGTGTGAAGGATAAACAAATCAATGTAGACCTTCTTAGTGAATGACAGATGAAGTTCCGGCAGTTGGAAAAGCATCCGCACTCCAAATAACCTTTCTCAACGAAGAGGAGTGAACGAGATTGACAGTCACAAAGGTGAAGGCTTGAGGGTTGTCGCTGAAACATGCATGACAAACTTGACTTGACTTGACTTGTATCGGTTTTCACCCTGGTCGGGTTGAACCGGCTTCCTCCCGAGCAAGTACAGCATCACGGACCATCGCTGCCCACGCTCGCTGATCCTGAGCCATGTCACACGAAATGGCGAGCCAATCGCGATTCCATCGTCGAAGACCAACTACTTGTGGACCCGATAGTGCTGCTAGGTCATCCTTGATTGTGCTAGCCCACGTCCTCAGCTGCCCACCGAGGCGTTTTCGCCAGTCAGGAAGAGAAAGAGGGACAGAGGATAGGTGGAGCTCTAGATCACAAATAAAAACAAAAAGACTTTTAACGTATGTAGAATCAGCAACAAAAAAGGGATTTTTTGGCATTTGTCGAAAGAGAAAATTAAACCAAATTTTTGCATAATACAATGAATAGTGACTGTAAAAATGAGGAAAAGCCCTGAATTTACGTTGTATTTAGAACGGAAAAAGTCAGAGGAAACTGAAACTTTCTATATGAGACTATTTTGATTTTACGCGTTCATGAAGGTACATTATGTTGAATTGTAAAAAAATTAAAATTAAAAATAAAAATTTTAGTGCTCTCTGTTTTACCAAAGAGAGATAAAACGCAAGATAGCCGAAGGAGATATTTGACAAGGTAGTCCACTCGTGCAAAACGAGTAGATCTCCAAGGAGTCTTAACAATGGACGACAACAGAGTTAAATGTATAAAGGATCGGTTATAGAGAGAAGGCTTGATTGCATTTAATGATTACTGGAATCGAATATAGAAAAAGAACTAATTGAGAAAGTTAATTAGTTTTAAGAAATTAGATGAGTTAAGGGAATCGAACTCGAATATTAACTTAGCGATAACTGGGTAAGCCAAGTTAATACCTACTCGCTACATTCGCTACACTCGCCAAGTAGGGCGAAGATGATGACAAGTAATGAATTACTACTTCGGCCTAAAGCAGCACTTGTCTCTTGAAAGTGAATTGTTTTTATTAATTCCTATTCAGTAGATTCGAGACGTATCTTAAGCTGCATAATTTTGGAGAAAAGGGCTTTATAAAAAAGAAAAGCTCAGTCAAAACCAATAGGCCGTGTAAAATGCTTGCATAAAGACATATTTGCCGATAGACTTATAAGAAGAATAGTCTTCAAGAAAGTGGTTTATCAGAAAAAACGTGCCATATGCCCGTGAAACCAAAGAGCCTAAGCGAACGTAAATTAATCGTCAAATCGAGTCCATACATCACTTTTGAAAGGGTTTGGGTTTCTACATAAAAGAATACACATCGTCATTTAAGAGAGAAGACACGAGTAGGAGGACAGAGCGAGAAGTTCAGAGGCAGTCAAAAAATATTTAAAAAAAAACAAACAAACTATAAAATAATAATAACGACGCAATATTTTTTCATATTAAGGTAAAGTCACCGATACAGATTACCCTTGTTCTCTTATCTACATAGTTACGAAGAATTGATTTAAATCCAGATCATGCTTGCTGTGAAAGCATTAGAATTGTAGAAAAGATTATGCTAGTATGTGATTTACAGTGAAAATAACCCACGCAAACATGCACAAGCATGTATCCATTTCCCCAATTACACACACACACACACACACACACACACATATATATATATATATATATATATATATATATGAACCTAAAGAGTCAGGTAGTGTATTGAGCAATTTACGTAGTTACTTTTGCTTTACTCGTTTTGGAGGGTTTTTTTCTGTGGACTCTGAACTTGGATTCTAGACGATTGTTTTCGCCTCAATTTCATGGTCTTAGTTCTTTTTTTTTTATCCCTTATTTTCCCTTGGGCATTGGTTTGTTCATGCCAAAATACTTAAAAATTTTCCAAACGAGTATAACTATATATATTATTATTATATATACACATATATAGTTGGATTAGAAACCAAAATATTTTAAATTATTTTTCTATATTTCGGACCATTTTCCTGTTTACTGATTGAAGTTTAAATATAAATTGCTCAATGACTGAGAACTTTCGATTTCATAAGCCATTATCAAATAGTTTTTTTGTACTATGTCAATTTCATCGATTTCCAAATATGGTCTCTTCACGTGCCCTGACTGTTTTTAAAGTATCACACCTTCACGTGTAAGTTCGTGTTGTCGTGTCGGGTGGTTACTTTGAAATTATCATATCTCGATTTTACTTTTGGTTGTCACAAGACTAAAAGTCGCTTCAGGCCCAGATAAAATCATTCGCAGTCCGCTTGCGGTTCGTAACCAATTGAGCGAGGACCCATTGTAGGTTACATGTTGCTGAAAAAATGCTGTTTGTAGTGTTTATCTCTATTTAACATTAATAAAAAAAGAAAACATCGAAAATCACATGGAATGTTTGATCTCTAGATAAAAGTAGTAAGTTTACTTGATACAATTGTGGTAATGATATCAACGATTGTTCAAGTGATGTTCGGTGATATGAGGCTGCTTATTCAATCTTAGACATCGCTCTCTCTTCGTTTGTCTATTTATTCACTCGTTTGTTGGCTTTTATAATCTCCACAAAAAATGCTTTGAACAGAATTATTTGCTTATAATTCTGCTTAGCTGCTCATTTCGCATCAAAAAATTTCATAAATCAGTATTTACATATTCGTAGTAAGCCTATCTACAAAGCATTTTCATAGTATTATCAGTTGCATTGTATTTTCATAGTAAATGATTTGCAAAACATTTTCATAGTAGAATCATCTGCAAAGCATTTTCATTGTAAATCATTTGCAATACACTCTCAGTGTACATCATCCGGTTTACTAAGCTACAAAATTAAATTTAATAACTCAAACAAGCAAGATGATACCAGGGATGCAGAAGAGGGAATCAAACGAAATGTTGTGAACAAAAATAAAAAGTGAGCCATTGGATAAACTTAAAAGAACAACAAACTTTGCTATACCACTAACCATATCTCGAATTGTATGTCAAGTTATAAGATATTTGTAAATATATAATCAAGCATCGCTTGTGTTTTACAGAAACTAAACCAATGTCGTTATCTATTAAGCCACTCCTGGTCCTCATAACCTCACTTCTGGGTATAGAAGACATTTTCAATGTCTAAGAAACTAGAAACAAAGATTTCAAACTTGTTTCACCTTCGAAAGGATTGGGCGGTTTTGATTAAATTCAAATTAATTAAAACTAAATTTTGATTACTTTCAAACATTCCCTTTAGTCCGATAAACTGGGTTCTTTCTTTCTTTCTTTCTTTCTTTCTTTCTTTCTTGATTCCGTTTCTTTTAAAATTTTCTGTTTAGCCAACTTTCGCGCCCTCCATAACTCAAATAAAAAAATAAAAATTGTTAATCAACACTTTTGCCTCTCCTCATTTTAGCTTGGATTGTGGAACGGGGAAATTGATAATGATTATTTAAAAAAAATGAGCAAAGTAAACGAAATTATTCACTAAGGAAAATGTTCTCTCGAAATCCTGTTATAATTAATGCTCTTGCTAGTGTTATTGTTAGTAGTAGTAATAATAATAGAAACGTTAGTTCTACATTATAAATAATAATAATAAAAATGTGTCAGATCATAGATTTTGCTGTTCTCCAGACCGCTGAAGAAATCTAAAGGAAATTGAAAAGCTAAAAAAGATATCTCGGCTTTGTGAGGTTGCAGAAGAAAGTGTAGAACGTGAAAGCCATAATTGTAACAATTGTTATCAGATTGCTGGGAACAGTTCGAAAGAAAAAGGAAGAAAATAAGTAAGACAAGCTGGAGATTGAGAGAAGAATATTGCTAAAATCTACGAGAATACTGATGAGAGTCAGGAAGTATTGAGGAGATTTTGACTCAGTAAAAACCAACAGAAGCTACTGGTTTGAAAAAAAAAACCCTGAAAAATTGAGTGGAAATATTGATAATAATACCAAGCACACATACTGAAAAAGTGTGTTAACTTGAAATGCAGATTCTGTGATAAATATACAGAAATAATTGACCATATCTGCAATGGAAAATATATAACTTTTACGGGAAGGAAACTGCAAGAAACTGCTAAGAACATCACCCAGACCTAGTTACAGAGATAGGACCTGTAAGAATTTTATGAGAATTTATAATACACACAGCCAGAACAATCAAAATAAATCGCCAAGGACATCGTGATCAAAGACCACGAAAACAGAACGTGATTTCATATTGGCGTGGAAGTCACTGCAAATTGTAATGTATCTTCGAAGATCTTCAAAAACTATCAAAATACAAGGGCCTTGAAGTGGAAATCTAAAAAATGTAGCACATAAAAACATCAATAATTCCATTTGTAGCGGGAGCCCTCGGATTGATTGGAAAAGGTTCTGATAGACACATTGAAGGGACTCCTGGTAACACACGCCTTAAAGAAATACAAAAAAAATGTACTCACAACTACAGCTCACACATTACGAAGAGCTTTAAGTATGTAAAATGTGTAGGATCTTACTTGTTTGTTTTTTTTTACAAAAATGATCAGTGGAAAATGTCATAAAGCCATTTTTGATCTTAGGTCTCTGGTTGGGACCCGGAAGGAAATGTGTATGCAACAGAAATCCAAGGAAATAATAATAATAATAATAATGAGGACATCAACAATTCCAGTTGTAGTTGGAGCTCTCGGGTTGATTGGAAAGGGTTCCGATACACTCAGTGAGGGATTCCACGTAGCTCAAGCCTTAAAGAAAAAAAAATGTACTCACAATTACACCCCACACCTTACGAAGGTCTTTATCTATGTAAAATATGTGGGATCTTATTTTTTTCCTTCAAAAAATGCTCAGTGGAAAATTTCATGATTCCATCTCTGACCTTAGGTCTCTGGTTGGGACCCGGAAAGAAATTAGTATACACAAGAAATCAAAGGAGATAATAATAATAATAATAATAATAATAATAATAATAATAATAAGTGAACCTCATCTGGGATAAGACCATCTTGACAAGCGCTTCAAGAAAAATCAATCTGATATCAACATTGTGCATATAGGGGTGAATTTCATTTGCCTGATAACTGGAGTCACCGAAAGCCTTGAATAAAATCTTAACTTCACCGAAAAATCAAAACGTAGAAAATTACAGAAAGGTATCTTTTATATTTGAATAATATTTTTTTTATTATGTATTATTTAAAAATGACAAGTTAATTCGATTGTTGTTTATTTAGCTACAATATGTTTTTTTTCTATAAATTCATCACTGAATTTTCATTTGCGTAATAATGTTGCTCAATATTTTGACTTCATCATTTTGTCGCAATGGTCAACGAAAATAAAATATAATTAGATAAAATTTTATATCTGAATAATGAATTTTAAAAATATGTATAATTTAAACATTCCATCCATGAATGAATTCGATTGTTATTTATATATTTCTAGTAATAAATGAATGACAACAACAAATTGGGATGATTTAATGTTGAAATCGGTAAAGTCAGAAAATTAAATTGTCTTATTGTTGCAACGGGAGCAACAAAGATTAAAAATAAATAAATAAAACAATGAAAATATAAATATTAAATAAACAAAAAAAGCAACACAACACAAAAAACAATTTAATTTATTTACACATGTATTTTGGATCGGACAGATATTTAAATGAGTGCGTGTTATATTATTTTTTTTTTTTACTTGTCAGTAAATATTCATAGAATATAGTCAAAATATTAAGCAACATTATTACGAGAAAGAAAATTACAGTGATATGAAAAATAAGCAAAATCAAAATCAAAAGGTATTTATTAGCTTAAATAAATGAACACAAATCAAATTAACTGGTGTAGTTTTTAAATAATACATACTTCAAAGCACTATTCAGATATAAAATAATATTTCTTTAATATTATAGGTTTTATTTTTTTAAGTGAAGTGAACGATTCATAATCCAAATATTAGAAATGAGATGCTACAGTACCAACCGAGGCATCTGCTACGTAGACTGCATCACAAATGACGCAGTTCGAAACACCAATGATACAGCAAAGAGGTTTACAGTATGGCCGCATAACATCTTTCAAAAATAGTAAGTTGAAATCATATGGCCACGTCATAGTAGCCAACAATCTTTCCACTACCATCCTACAAGGTCCCACCTTAAGCAAAAGAAGAGACAGACAAAGGAAAAATGGGCTGACAACATCACTGAGGTAACTGAAAGATCCTTCCTAGAAACTCAGACATTGATACGTAACTGAGACAAATGTAGAGAGCTCGTTAGGAACTCAGTTGCGGTTATCATCATCAATCCCAGTAATAGGATTGATGATGATGATGAACCATTCGACTAAGTGAAGATTTGATTTAAAGCTTTCGGGGAAGCCAGTTTTCGGACATATGAAATTCCTGTTTTTGTTTTATGGCAGGTACCTCGAAATTTAATATTTACGAAACTAGCTTTCAGCAGACACAAGACCGTATCAATGATGCATAAAGTGAGGACTGAATTCACAATCATTATCTTGAAATATTAACACGTTAAACATCGCTTTACGGAAAGTGTGGGGATCTCTGTTTTGATGTGTCTTTATAAGTTTACACGTCTGCGTTTAAGCGTAAACGCACATCTGTAGCCGTTATCAGATATCATTCTGATACCAGGCCACTGGTCATGCCAGTGGGTACATTTGAAAGAATCGGTTGCCAGTTTGGTCTCGAGACATTGAACAAAGAGAAGCGATGAATGTAGAAGAGCGACAGAACTGTGGCCGTCGGTCTTAAAAGGAGAGCCTTGCTTCAGCGCACATTCGATGAATGCCTCTTTTAAATGAATTACACGGCAATTTACCACAAGCGCCATCTTGTCAGCCATCTTGCAAATGGTCTATCGCAACGAATATCAGAAGAATATCCGTGTTTCTCGGTTCAACGTTTTTCAATAACAAGGGATGGAAAGACGACGCCTAGCGTTTAGATGGATAATCACGTAAGGGGGAGAGTTTCTGACAAGGGGTAATGTTATCCTATTTCTTTTTCATAACGGCGTCCTCTTGTAATTATATAAAAAAAGCAATCGTATAGAATACAGAATTTTGTTAAAAAGTAAGTTTCGGTCCGGCACTATAACAAGAAAAAATACAGAAAGACGACAAATTATTTATTAAGAATGACTTTATTTATAATTCTGACCAGTATTTATGCATCTAATACTACTACTACTACTTCTACTACTACTACTATTACTACTAGTACTACTACTACTATTACTACTACTACTAATAATAATAACACCCTGATGTTACACCAGGCATAGCTCTGATAGTTTCTGATCTTAACTGATTGGAGGTCTTAACATGTACATATTTTGTGTTAATAAATTAAGTTGGGCTACAGTAAATACCCGATAAATCTCAGGAATAGGCTTGTCATTTGCCTGATGTTAACCAATAGGCGCTGGCGCATTATACATTCATGAGATAGAGCATCGTGAAAGATCATCATGGCTGGGTGTCGATAGATCTTTTTTTTTTAATTTGAAGGATAAGGCTGCCAAGACAACTTGTAAGTCACATCTAGATAGTTGACAACAATCGGGAACCATCTGAGCGGACGAGATTACCCGATTTGAAGATATTTCTAAGTGGAGTCTCACGTGCAAAGTTACGCGCTGATTTTATCAAACCTCTCGCACTATCACACACATTTGGCCGTGATGCATGTGCTTGCTTTTCCCCTTATCAAACTAAGTGCCATGATGAGCGTATTGGAGATAACAGATTTGTACCCCAGTTTCATCTGTTGGTGTGCTACTTTCACACTCAGTTCCTACCGCTCTTTCAAAAAATCATAAATAAATGAAACCAAACTAGTAATTTTGATGTGTATAAGATAAAAACACATGGTGTCGTCTTGAAAATTGGAGAAGAAAATATAACTACTTGGTACATTTGAAAGAGGTCCATTAAAAAAGGCTTTATGGCTTAATTGCTGTCAGGATAAGATAGACGTGACGAGACCTGAGACGTTAAGTGTTATACGTGATACACGCTTGGACGATCATGTCTCTTTGATTCATGACTTACTAGAAAGAAGATTTTCCCTCAGTAGTTTACCGTTTCTTCCTGCGATAGACTGGTTGCCAACCAAGGTGACTATAGGACTCAATGTGTCCTGCTATTTACCCCATAACTGGGTCGGGATTCATAAATTTCCCAAGGATATTTGCGCATAAGTGAATGTAACTAACGTGACTGGAATTCGAACTCGACTCTCCGATTTCTCATTCCATGCAGATAGACATTACACCCAGTTAAAAGAAACCACCGGAGAAAGCTTGTTATTTCTGATCCACACTAGTGTGTTAACGGTCCTAGAATAATTATCTGAAAGTTACAACAAAAAGCAAAACAAATTCGAAGATTAAACTAAACTTAGTTAGGTACAAGGCCTCTACATTGGGATGACATTGAGAATCAAAGCCATAAAACTATCAAGATCTGGCAGACAAAGCTTGAGTTAGACGAGAACTATTGTTTTAAACCCGTGTATTTATTTTCCTTTACCGGTCTGAATATTCGAGAAATCTTATTAAAGAAAAATATGCGCTGTCCGGATTTCTCGAATATTCAGGTCGGTAGATGAAAATAAATATACTGTTTAAAATAAACGTATCGTCTACTCAAATATGAGTTTCCACTAAAAGCAAAAATTATTATATAACGGTCAGCTAGAAGAAGGAAGGCATTTCTGTTTTTCTTCATACAATATATATATATAGATAAAAACGAAATAAAATTGTCCAATGCAATGAATTCTCCAGATGGATACTGCGGTCGGCATAAAATTGAGCATTTGATTTTTGTGTGGTCTTACTGCTGACACACATATTATTTAATCAGTAACAAGCATCATGATCGTGTTCTGTAATTGATCTAACAACATACTTTATTGTGCAAAAGTGGAAAAACAGCTAGAAACATGCTTATTTAACATAACAATTTTAGTGTGTGAAGCATTGCCGATAAACATTTCACTTACTATAAATATTGTAAAACGCTGAAAAGAAAATTTGTAAATAGTAGCATTACCATCGAGCATTTTCTTGTTAATTTTATCGTTGCTGATGATGTATATGCGTTACACGCCAAGGTCGAAAGTGTAAAATAATAGCCAAAAACTGTAATATTAGAAACTACTATAGATAAATAGGATAAAATTATGAAATTATTTTATATTTCAATATAAGTAATATCAATAGATAATATAAGAAATTAAGTAATCGAAAGAGGTGGACAAGTAAAGCACGACGCGTGCATTACTTACATTATATTATATTGCAGCAATATTGAAATATGAAGGATAATGACACGGCAAAATTAGACAGAGACATATATAAACATATTTAGAAAAATAGATAAAGATAAATATGAAAATTGAGAAAAACAGACAGACAGACAGATAGATAGATAGATAGAGAAAGAGAGAGAGGGAGAAAGATGAAGAATTTGAAATGATTAAATATATATCGCGGTATAGACTAAGATATGGAAAAAACAACTGAGATAGACAGATCTATACATACATATGTAGATAGATATAAAAAGACTCGGATAGAGAGTAAAAATGTAAACAAACTGAGATAGATGGGAACAGATTAGGATGGTAATGATAATATTAGCCATATCCTTATAAGGAAATATTCGGCATTCACTAACCGTGCAGCCAATGTTACTTTCGGTTGAAATTTATAAAATCTTTCCCTTAAAACAATTTTTCAGGAAAATAGATTTATCAAGTTCAGTAATTGTTATTGCTATTTCCAGTCCTTTCCAGTACTGATGTAACCTTTCTTCCTAACTTTTGGAATTTTGTGGAACATCAACATCTTCATTATATAATTATTTTCTCTTCACGTTACATGTACTATCGATTTTAGTTGTTACTGTAGTTGAAAGTCCTCTTGTGATGTGGTTTCTGTTATTTAGTACAGTTCTTTGTTAGTGATTCTGTAGTACCAGTCCACAAGTTTCGTATAAGTATGGTCCTCACTAAAAGTCGGCTTCATTCGTTTGAAGCCATTTTCAATAATTGAAAGCGATTGTATACAGCTGACAGTTTAGATACTTTTGAATGAGTTTGGTGCCATGTAAGTCTCAATCTGTTGAGGCTATTTAAGAATATGACTTGATTATATAGATTAATTTTTGTTTTTGTAGCAACTTGCGCTGTTGTGCAAAACACCCTTGAGCGTAGACTATTCTATGTTCAGTTTCTTTATCTCCTATACTAAATTCTTTATAAATGTGTCATCACTGATTTCATTCCAGTTCCAGATCATAGTTTCTCTTTTGGAAAGATTTATCGTGAGTCCTAGATAAAAGGGTATTAGTTTGGGTAAAGATATAGATCCGAAGAGATTGAAATAAATGTGCTCAGATAATTTGGTTGAGAATATTGATAGAAGGAACGAACGAATTAAAGAAAAAGAAATTTATAAAATCAGGTTGAGTGATAAATAAAAATATACAAATTGCCGACATTAGATTGACCATGTTGTGGTAATGTAAAAAGCTAACTAAGGACATGTTCATTTTCTGATACTCTGTATCTTTTATGACGATTCATCCTAATAGAATCGTATGTTTATATTACAGCACGCATCAGGTGTCCCTCTCTGTATAGATACATCCTCTCCCTTCTCCTTTTTAATGTCATTAAATCCTCTGTGGTGTATAGAGGCGTTGCTGCTGTGATTTCTTTTGTCTAACCGGTTTGGAATTCAGTTCTCTTTCTCCTAAACTGGTTAACCAAGGCTAGAGTGCCTTGTCGATTTATTCCATAACTGTGGGAGAAGAGATTAATTCACACCTTTTCCAAAGGTATTTGTGCAAAAGTAAACGCAAAGGACTCGGGATTTGTACTTGGCACGCCGATTCAACTTTCCGCACCGATAACCGCTACGCTATTCAATCACGCACACCACACTGTATATAGTTATTTTCCAAGCATAGCTTAGATGTGGCACAAGGTCGAAAGTATGGGCCAGCTAGTGAGGATGAAACTCACTTTTCAGTTGTAACTAATCTAGCGAGACAAGTTTGCTAACCATTACACTACGCCGAGGTGCCTCACCACACTGTATATATACACTAACGGAAAATAAAATCTTAACATAGTGAATATATGTTTCAATTTATGTACAGATAATAAATATATCTGGATTGCAGTAAATAATCACATATACTGATAAATGCGTGGATATTTAAGTAAATATTCGGGACATTCGAAACATTAATTTTATAATTGTATTTTTTTTAATTTGCTCAAAATGGTGTAGGGCATTGTAGCTGATACACAGTCAAGAATCTATATCTATATTTTATTATAAATTAATTGATTTAAAATATGGTTCAATTAATTTATAATATTAATGCTCTGTAAATTTACATTGAGCACTATTTTGTAAAAATAAAAATATCTATAAGAACACCGGATTTTATATCTTACTGTTCTTTCTTTTTATTTATATACATACTCTTGCTCCTAATCAAAGTCGAGCACTCTAAATCTTTATTTTTAACAAGAAGAAAATATGGAGAAAATAAATTTCGGAATTTCTCTGAAGAACATTCCTAATACCAACAAAATGAATATTTCGTGTTATTAATGAATAAAACAGAGGAACTTATACGGAGGATGAGATGGAGAGCTTACTTCTTCCTTAATAAGAATGAACCAAAAAACAAAAACTACAAGGAAACTTACGGTTTTAACAGTAAAAATGCAGCACCATTTATTCATGGTTTGTCCGCTTTCGAAAAGGGCCTACTGGAAATAATTAACAACATAAATTTCCATGACAAGAAAAGCTACTTCCAGAAACGACTGGATAAGATTGTAAAGGATATAAATGCTACAGATAAAATTTTAGTAAAATCCGATAAAACTGGGAACTTTTATAAAACATCCATAAAAGAATATAACGACCTAATAAATAAGGACTTGAATAAGAACTACAAGAAAGCGAATAACAATGACATCAACATAGTTCAGAATATCAATACTAAAAGTAAGGAAATCACTGATAAACTAATAATCAGTGATAGAGTAGGACAACTAGACCAAAGAGAATGCTACATCACCTTGAAGGACCATAAACCAGATTTTGAGGCTAATCCCACTACAAGGATAATTAATCCCACAAGACCGGAGATAGGAAAAATAAGTAAAATGATCCTTGAAAGGGTAAATAAACAAATAAAGCGAAAAAAAAACATATTTTAAATCAATTAATTTATAATATTAATGCTCTGTAAATTTACATTGAGCACTATTTTGTAAAAATAAAAATATCTATAAGAACACCGGATTTTATATCTTACTGTTCTCTCTTTTTATTTATATACATATCTATATTTTATTGATATTTACGAAGCCTAGCTTAATACAACAGGAAGCTGATGGAAGGAAATAAGATTGTCAGTTTTCAGTCGTTCTTGATTACCTTTTCTTGAGAATTATTATTCTAAACTTGATTTTTTTAAACCTAGGCTCAAACACCAACTACTGCCATCAATGGAAAATATGCTGGTCGTATCTGTCTGTCTCAGTTTATTTGTATCTATCTATCTATCTATCTATCTATCTATCTATCTATCTATCTATCTATCCCATAGTTTTCGATGTATGAGGGGTCAGTAGCATGTTTCGCCTTTGGGACCTGACTTTGTTTCTTCGATGACTTTTAAGGCCATCTTGTAACCCCCGCAACATTCCACACATTTGCCAAGGAACGGTACTCTTTATGAATGCTGCTGGAATATTAGAGCGCTCAATGTTTTTTTTTCTGTAATAAATAGATGTTCAGTGCGTGATCTCTCAAAGCTTGTAACGCCTTTCATGCGCACACTCCTTCACTTGATACGATCCGAAGCTACTTCCTCAAAAGACAACACAGGGATGTCGATATATATATATATATATATATATATATATATATATATATATATATATATATATATATATATATGTCTGTGTGCATGTATGTGTGTGTGTTTGTATGTGTGTGTGTGTATGGGCTTGGAATGTGAATTGTGACTGCACCAACCTGGAATTCATACTAAATATTCAGAATACTTCGATGTATAGATCAATTATAAAAAAACATTAGTATAAGAAAAAAGAAAATTGAACAGGAGATAAGTTACAGCAATAGTACTTGTCCAACATTGCAAGAAGGTACAAAAGCAAAATGTTAACTTAAGAATTCAAGTGATGCTCTTTAATCGCCTCACCAGATCTAGACTCTTATGGAACTTATATATGCCGTCCTACTAGTTCAGAAATACCTAAAGTATTATCATCATACAGCCGTTTTCTTACATCACTGATTAAAATGGCTTCCAGCATCCTTCATGTCTTAAAGAAAGCCATACATCATCAGACCTTATAGTTCGATTCAGCAAAATCCCAAATAACTTTACAAAACAAGAAAACGACATCACTTGAACACGTCCAACAACAGAAATTGGCAGCACATGTCACAGAAGAAAAATTAGTAGCACGTGTAACTAATAGAAAATTATGATATAATCAAGATGTTAACTTTCCCCACTACCTTAAACAAGAGACTTTGAAAGAAGCTCTCATCAGTACTCGAAAGAATGACAACGGGCAGTGATCTATCTATCTATCTATCTATCTATCTATCTATCTATCTATCTATCTATCTTGTTATCCTCTTTTACACGACATAGATTTTATATAACTGTATACGTTGTCTAACACCAATCTGTCTCGTACTTATTCTAATTAAAGTGATGTCAAGCATCAATGATCACTAATAGTCTACTATTCAATGAAGCCTGAAATTTGGATTGTCTCGGTACAATTTCGTTTAACAGGCAGGAGGCATTCTTTGAAACATGGCTGTCCAAGCAGACTTCGCCAGCTCACGCTTTCCGTCGAGTAATTCAGTCTGTGATTCTTCAGTGCTTGAGAACGAAATAAACAGACGCGTTCCCCTCGAGACAGTTTCTTGCTCAACATGCTGTACTGTGACGAGCCAGGTAAGCATATTCAGCTAACAGACTCCGAATTCTGGTTTTGGGTTTAGCATTTTAGGTTCTGTTCGTAACAATGCCTTGGGGAGCGCATGAATTCACTATACCCTGCGCTCTGTGCTACCATGAGGTAACTTGACTAAATTTCTCGTCATTAGCACTCGATGACGGGTTGACAAAGTAACTAGGGGATTGATCTCTTGAAAACACCACTCTCCCTTAACTATTTTTATTTGTGTCCCAAGATTTCCTATGACAAAAATATCTATCTATCTATCTATCTATCTATCTATCTATCTATCTATCTATCTATCATGAATGGCATCCAACTCTTATAAATCTCAATTGTCTGCTTCGTCAATGCAAGCTGAAAGTTTCCTTATAAAGAACATGCTAATTACCATTACCATTACGGCTTACAGACCCCCCATCACTGTCACTATTGCTTTCAATATTTCCCAAGATTGTTACTATTTCCTGCCTTCCTCATTATGTATCCCAGAAATGTTTTATAAATTCCAACCGACGGTAACGCTGTCCTGTCAATGAATGCCGAATGTTTCCTAATACGGCTAATATAACCATTACCATCTATCTATCTATCTATCTATCTATCTATCTATCTATCTATCTATCTATCTATCTATGAGTTTGCTTAGAGATTGATGTAACATCATGTTGGTGACTTTCAAAATCAGCAGTTGACTCCAGGTTAAAAAAGAAACAGGTTTTGACTGTTTATTTTCAAAGCAATGACTATATATTTATTTGGTTAGACTTTGTATTACCTCGGCATTCGCAATCAATTCGTGTACTTCTTACTTCTGTAGTAAGTTTTTTAAATTCATTTCACCTCAAGAAAGTCAATAAAGCTACTAGAAGGTAAGAGGTTACTGAGTGTGAGGGAATATGAGAAAATGAAAACATGATTAAGGAGAGAGAACAATAAAAGAACAGGAATTAGGAAGACAGAAGATAATTGTATTTAAAGTTTTGAAGATCAAAGTGAGTGGAAAACAAGCCGGAAGAGAGTTCCACTGGCGAGAAATGCGAGAGAAGAAACTGTTAGTATAGAACTTACGGTTACATATAGCCATTTCAACTGTAAAATGATGAGACTTTGCCGTCAATCTAGTACTGCGCTTAAATTCATAAAGTCTAGCTCCCAAAGAGGAAAGGTCATAACAATTACTATGAAAATAGTTATAGAAAAGGCACATGGAAACTACGTTATGGTGGTGGGAAAGTGACTGAAGCCGAGACGACAGATCAGGACCGATAACATTGCAGATTCTTCTTTGAATTTTATCAAGTATTTCTAAATACATAATAGAAAGACTGGACCACATATGGTAGAGATATTCAATACTTGGACAAAGGGTAGACTTATAAATGTGTAAGATTCTGTCGAGAAAAATAAATTGTCTAGCACGGCACAGTGAACTAACTTTCCTATCCGCAAACCTAGCAATTGAGTTTAATCTTTCCACTTTCCGGAAAACGTTAACCCGAGAAGGTGCACGCTCCTGGAGTAGGAGGACAATTAGTAGAGAGCAGTTTTGTTCTGGAGTCGTTGAAATTAACAAGACATTTCTTGCTCCAGTTAAGAACAGATTGTCGGTCATTTTTTAGATCATCTCCCAATTTGACATTATTGAACTGATCAGATTTACCATTAAGACAGGAGTAAATAGTTGCGTCATCAATATAGATACCAACTTGAGAATTGATGACATCGTGAATATTGATGAAAATTAGGTGACACACCCACTTAAGGCAAATAAAACTACACGGGATTATCTAGGGCACGTCATCGTATTGTCCTGATCAGTGAGGTAAACTTCTAGATCAATAAGGAATAAGTTCTTAATGGGTGTCCAACATGTTTAATTTTGTGCAAAAACAAAGCTACACTTCGTAAAATAACAAATACATGGTCGATCTATATCTCTTTAGATCTATAAAACAGCAAGCTTCTTTGTAATAATTTGTCAATATTTTTCTAACTTTATTATTATTAATACTATGACTTCTGGGAAAAGATAGTTGAGTGGTTTTCTGTATAGCAGGAACAGACATTTAACCATCTGGTGAGACAAAAATACGACATAGAAATCTGGAGACATAGGAATAGAAAAAATTTAAATACAGAAACTAGACAAAGTATTAGGACATAAAAAAATATGATTAGAAATAAAGGAAAATTGCTGAACTGCTATGCAATGTCTAATCTTTTATTCAGTAATGTATCATGGAAACCTCTTCACAGCTGAAGAAGAGACTTGAACTGACAGATGTCGTTCTATTGGCGAATCTTGACTTTCATTGCCACATCCTGAAAGGATAGCGCATATAAAAGATTAAACACAAGACTATAGGCGAATAATTGCAGATACTCTAAATGTTTACACAAAATGAAAATGGAAGTTGGAAAACTATCATTTAAGTCTTATAAATGGCGAATGTTTGAATGCCGTGAAAATCAGTAATCTAAATCCCGGCTATTTCCTTGGCTCGAACATTAATAAGCGATGACGGTGAAAATTTATCTTCAAAATGTTCTCAATGACAATGCAAGCCAATGTTTAGTAATAGAACCATTATAAGAACATTTCGTTGTGTGAGTGTATTTTATTGCCTATTAAGGCTTTCATTTATCCAAACGTCGAGAACATAATAATAAGCTAAAATTATTTATTTTTCTAACACTGGGCGTGTTCCATTAAATGATTTTTACACTCTGAGAATACAACTTTCGTTATTTCTGTACAACATTCACTGACCAAATATCTTTACATTTCTCTCTTTTCTTATGCCCTGTCCCTTCAGGACGTTGGTGAACATGGCTATTCACAGCTTCATATTTTTCTTGCTTTCAGCATTATTTAATTCTTTAAGACAATTGCAGTAATTGTTCCCCTATCCATTTGCCAAAACTTGTCAATGTAACCTGCTGCTTTTTTCCACTTTTATTGTTTTAAGTGTGTCCAGTGAGGATTAAATTTTACCAAGCTATTTTTTTAAAAACTTATTATCTTTTCTAAGAATTTCAGCGATCTCTTTCTGATTGTTCTCGACAGTCTCTTTGTATTTAACATTCTCCTTAGAATTTCGTCATTTGTCGAATGGCCTATTCATGGTATTCTCAAATTTTGTCGGGAGAAGCACAGTTCTTTTTGTTCTTTTATTTGTGCATATTTTACTTCTCCATAGGAAAGTAAACACTGCATAACAAGCATCGTTATTTACTTTGTTTCGAATGTCATTTTTCAGTTTTTTAGTACCTTCCAAATGTACCTTCCGACAAATGTTTTTGCATTATTTCTATGCCACTTAAAATGTATACCATACTTTTAGTCTTCTGTTATTTGCCTTTGAAATTTTTTAATACTAAAGTTCACCCAATACAAGACTAGAGAGACAACTAAGGTAGAGGATTAATATTAAAATGGTTATGACGAATGTAATGTAATAAGAATGTAAGAGGAATTAGAAGTAAGTGAAGATTATTAGGATAAGGAGGATAGATAACAATAGACCCTTCAATTGAAAAGGTTAAGATTGTAGGAAAGCATCCGTGAGGGGAGTCTGTTCCACAAAGTATCATTTTTTGG